TTTTCTGAAAATTTGTAGGCAGACTAGGCATGGTTCAAAACTGAGTTACGTATAATATTTTCGAAGTTTGATAACGTATCGCTGAGATATAGGTCATCGAATATAGCCAAAAATGACACACATCAATTTTTTAAATGTCTATAACTCTGGTTCCTTTTCTGGTATCAAAATGATATTAACAGGGTCTTGTAGGCAATCGACAAGGCTTTGATTCTTAGTTATAAAATTAAATTGAAGTGACCTTGAAATGCATTTGACCTTGAATTAAAACAGAAAAATTTAAATAGCAAAAAACACGCCACCTTCGATTTGGGTAATTTTCACATATTATGTCCGTCACAATGTTCCTAACCATCTGTGAAAAAATTGGAGTGGGCCATTCATAACTTTCGCGGCAAACGCCGTTTTCATGCATCAACATCACGCAACCGCGCGTGACCTTGAAAGACAGTCCGTGTTGGTGTGTGAAAAAATCCCTGTGTGGGGCGAAACTGCCGAGTGCCTGGTCCTTCCAATTCATTGTGAAGGCTACAAAGCATAGATGACATAAATTTCAGCTTGAATTATATCATCGAACCTGATTCCTTATCCCTTAAACATTGACGACAGAATGGTGCACTGAAGTCACAGTAAGTACGAACTTACGGAAAAGACTTGCATCACGACGATGAGCAGAACGCTTGCTTGTGTTAACTTTCTGAGATGAATGATTGCTGATTAGTGATATACCAAACTCTGCTAGAATGGAAATGCTTAGTCATCGTAGTCGAGCATTCACGTTCCATAATAAAAGTGTCTCAGGCAAACGGTATTTTGCGGTGAATTTTGAGCGGTGTGGAAATGCATCATGAAGTAAATTCAACAAAAACATTACCACGCAACGATATCTTGACGTCTTTTTATCTTCACTATACGAAGGAACATACATGTTTGAGTATGTATAGGGATTTTCTAGTTAATCCAATAATAAATATGGCAGTTAGAGGCCTGCTAAGAGTCACATGTCGCCGGCTGAGGCGGGATCGGCCGACGCGGGAAACGCAGCAATCACAATTTTGTGTTTACACGTTCATATTTAAATTGTTAACCAACCGATTTTCAAAATTATTTCACCATAAGATTGCCTGTACATTTCTTGGTCTTCTCACAAAATTTGACGCGAATCGAACGCAATCAGCGGTAAGGAGCGCGATGTAAAGACGGAACCGTTCCGTTCCGTCCCGGCACAGTCTACAATTCAGGCGGCGCGTAGCGGTCGGCGCCGCGCCGGCTGCCGAGTCGCCGCGGCGACAGGATGTTCACTTTACACCGCTATTACTAGAACAGTTGTGAACCGATTTTCTTATTGCTTGCACGATGAGATGTGCAATTCAATTCTGGACAGGTGGCCATAATTAATTTCGCATAAATATTATGAGATATTGGCGAAAAACAGGAGGGGTGGGGCGAAATTCGCTCTTCCCCCTCCACTGCGCGTGCTAACATACGTTTGCATATGTGCCATTTTCTTCAAAACTTATGAATGGCCCACTCTAATTTTTTCACAGGTTGTTCAGAATATGGTAGGCAATAAAATATATGAAAATGAGCCAAATCGAAGGTGGCGTGTTTTTTGCTATTTCAATTTTTGTGATTAAGAACAGAGTTAAGCAAATTTCAAGGTCATATATTTAAGTACGTGCAATTCTTAGCAAATATTCAAGAAATTACCTAAACAGTACAGTTTATTTCATTCAAATCAAAGAAGTACAACCAAAGTTATGGTCGTTCAAAAATACCAAGATGCAACATTTTGTAAAAATTTGATGCCCTATATTTAGAAGACATGTGGTCAGAATGTGCAAAAAACATCAATGTATAATGTCCGGGGCGACACAGGAACTCGCTCACAAATTTATAATGAAATCGCTGATGGTAAGGTGCAAAACAGCCGATTTTTGTTCGATTTGACGTGGAATGCCCCCACTGTCACAGCGCAGCGTACACAGCCCCTACACAGAGAACGGTGGTGTTACACAGGGTTAACCTGCGCCCCGTTATAGGGCTATCGGCGAACCCAACCATCCGTAGGGGGGGGCCGTTTCGCCCCCCCCCCCTAAGATCTCGGAAATTTACCGGCCGATTTTCAAAATTCAAACGGCGTTCGATAGCCCCACCGGGGACGTTGTGACTAAATTTCATTGACCTAAATCATTGACCAAACCGATGACGTCACAGGTCACGTCAAAGGTCGGATTTTCACCGTTCACAGGCATTTCAAGAAATGTGTTGTGAAATCGAGTAAAATGGTAAGTTATTGAAAACCATTGATGGTACGTTGTTAGTCAAACACATACTTTGCGCTATCTGAGGTCACTGATACCAGGTCAGGTCACAGAGGTCAGGTCACTGGGGGGTCACAATATGAAAGTGTTGTGTGATGCATGTTTTAAAGGAAAAGGGCCACCTTCGTGAAATATGAAGATATCGTTGTTTTTCATTTTGACATTATTATTTTTCATTTTCTTTTTAAAACTAGTGCCAGAAGTGCACAATTCGCGAAAAAGTATTTAAAACTATTTAACATATTGGTACTATGTTGATACTCTCTACGGCACCTACTGTATGATGGCATAGCGATGACGTCACACTCAAGCCAATCAGCGTTCAGAAGACAGACTCGTCGGATTGTGTCAGATAAGCTGATTGGTTAAAGCTGAGCTGGTTGGAGCTGATTGGTAAAAAACCAAAGCCTCACCGCGGGTGGCTGTATTGTCGGATAAGAACGCATTCCTGGGATAAGGACGCATTCCTGGCGTATTTTCTTTTAAAATTGCCGATAACTACGAATGGAGGCCGAAATCGGCCGTAAGGAGGGAGACAAAGAGGTTTTCGGACACGGGCTACAAGATGGCTATCTCAGTTTCAATCCCCATGTTAAAGGTGGCCCTTTTCCTTTAAGGCGGCCGCACACTGGGCCATTCGGCGGGCGAGATTCCGCAAAAGCGGAATGTCGCGGGCGACATTCCTACAGCGGCTTTCCGTTTGTTTTCAGCAGTTTACAGGACCATTCGGCGGTGCGATTTTCTGCTTAGTATTTTCAGGAACTTTATGTGAAACATTTTATGATAAATATAAACGAATGCAAACTAAATACATTCAAGCAAATACAATATTTGCTTATTTAATGCGATTATGCTATATTTCTGTACAATAAAGTTTAGAATATCTATTAATTTGACATAATTTCTGGAGGAAGTTGCAAAAAAATAAAGCTCGTGATTAATGTAAACAACCTTGTTTGTCGACAAATGCAAGAAACCTAAAGACAATTGTGGAGAGGCACATAGTAACCCATTATTGGAATAACCAATGAAGTGTATAAAAACCATTTAATATGGGGAAAGAAGTGCCGCTACGATTTTTTATCAAGTGAAGTCTATTTCTCGGCTGCTCCATCAATAGTTGGTGAGTTTCAAGTTCCACAATTTCGGGTGTCCGCGGCGTCGCCGCGGAAAAAGCTGAACCGGTCCAGCTTTTTCCGCAACTCCGCGGCTGTTCGCGCGCATGCGCACTCTACCCGCGAACAGCTAGCTGGCAGCGGTCGGCTGATAATTTTGTCGTTTCGGCAGCTGATTCGGCGTCCACGAAAGCGTAATGTCGCCACGGAATTGCGTTTTTGCGGAATGTTGCCCGCCGAATGGCCTAGTGTGCGGCCGCCTTTATAGTCCATTTTACATGAAAAATGCGACTATGTGAGTCAGGCAGCCTTTGGGTCCAGCTAAGGTCACGTTTTGGTCAAGGTCAGGTCAAGGTCAGGTCAAATTAGGTCAAAGTTCAAAGTTGATATTTTTGCATGAAATGGGTAGGTATTGATTCGATGCAGCTCGTCACGGGGAGTCTAATGGTGGTCTTTGTTTTGCCCTACGTGGTTTAGAATTGCCAAAAATTGAGTTTGAAAATTTGACGTCATCATTTTTGAACAGTTTTTTCGCTATAACTTGGCCAAAAAACGAGATATCGATCTGAAATTTGGTGTGTAGATAGAAGATGGTGGGTACTATCACATATATTCCGGTTTTTTCGAAACTTAAAAAACGTTTTGGATTTTTTGGCTAATATATAACAAATGCTTTTTGATTTTTGGGGGTCAAAACTCAAAAATTTCAAAAATCCGAGATAGCAGTTGTATAGCCCTGTCAATTTTACACCTTTTATGTCTGGTCATTTTTATGTATCTTCAAAGCTGTAGGCCTGACAGCTCTTCTCGCGAAGGTCTTTTTTCAGTCGAAAATGGCAGAACATGACGTCATTCTGACGTCATTTGTGGACAACCTATCATAGCCTCTGGAAAAAAATTTTTGGTCACAATGTGTAAAATTGATGCCCGGAGGGGTGCTGAAAGTTTGCTGGCGATATCTCCAGCCGTTTAGGAAATATTGACGGAAAAGGACAGGGGGGGGGGGGCGTTTCGGCTCTCCCTTCGGGGCGCGGGTTAAAAGTTTAAGCCATAGTGTGCGAGACGCATCGTATGTGAACTGACAACAGAAAGTGGGTAAAAGAAACCTTTACTGAGTCAAGAGGTGTCGGCAGAACTGCTAAAAAAGCAAAGCCTTATTCCCCCAAACTGGAACAACCAATCAATGCCCCTCCCCCGGATAACGGGTGTCATGTTCATCAAAAAACTTCATCGGATATATTTATAAGAGACATGAAGTACGTATTGAGCAAAGTAATGATTATATCACTTATCATGTAAAGCCATATTAGATTAGATAGATTAGATCCTACGGGGTCAGGGTTGCCGTCTCCTGGTAATGTTCGGCTGAATCTTGGCTATTATTCATACACGGCACGAGCACGTCCCACTGTAAGATCAGGTAACAACGATTGAGATCGCAGTAGTTGTTGTACCGCCTGGTGCGACTGAAGGCGGACACCCGCCTTTTGTCGGCCGCGCTCAGTGGTTGGTACAGTGTATGACCCCCTGACCTCTAACCTCTGTGATCGCTGACCCCCAGCTGCTGTACCGGCTGGTCCGTCTGAAGGTGGACACCCGACTCTGGTCGGCCGTGTTTGGCGGCGGCGCCAGGAAACTGCTGAGGGTTGCTACTAACGTGGTCACACCGTCGGTAAGGAAATGGCAGCCCCCGGCAGGGTTGAGTGACTGTGCCGTAAGAAGGCTAGGGTTTCAGCCCGGTCCGGAATGGGCCAAGAGTGGCCGGTAATCCCAAGATACTTCGGATGTCATGTATTTTTCTTTCTGCAGGCTGTGTCTGAAACATTTTGAAACGACAGGTAGATGTTGGGGATATTTTATCGTTGTCTTTCTGTTGACCCTCATATCTTTTACCAGTAACTCCAGCAAAACAAAATATTTTGGCGTAGTTTGGCCGCTGATGCTATTACAAATTTTTTCAGACCCCGGCGCCGTCCGAACTGGCCTCATCCCCCGGTGACACCAGCCTGCTATCATCACTCAACAAGCAGCGCGCCAAGCTCAACATGAAGCTGCTGGGTCAGCTGGCCCCGGGCAGCGGACCGACCACGCCCGGCCTGACGCCGCCCACTCGTGACGAGCACCCCACCTACAGAGAGGTGTTTGTGCCGCCCGAGGCGTCCATTGTGCAGCTCATACTGGCGAAGGTGAGGACGGGCTCGGAATGGGACTGAGATGGGGTGGGACAGAGAGGTGGGATGGCAAAGGAAGAAATTCAGGAGGGAATTTGCTTAGCTATAGTGTTGCAGGCAGGTTGTAAGCAAAGTGTGTTTCGTACATATTGTTGCAGTAGGTATTCCTTTTAGGAGCAGCTGATGAATACTTTAGGTCGTGCAGTTATACCCCCTAGCCCGGTCAATAACTTGTGCTTTCAGTTTGTCGTTAAGCTAATCTAGTGCTGTGACTTGCCTGATGACCTGAATGTGACCCTTTCTACCCCGACAGCCGCCGCCGGACCCGGCCGGTGAGACCGAGGAGTCGACATTCGACTACGACTCCGACACTGAGTCGCTGGCGGACGATCAGTCGGATAGATATGGGGAGGAGGATGACGGGTAAGGACCAGGGGGAGGGGAGAGGACTTGTGAGGAAGAGGAAACGGGTGAGGAACAGTAACTGATGTCACTGGCGGACGACCAGTCTGATAGATATGGGGTGGAGGATGACGGGTAATGACCAGCGGGGAAAGAAGACTGGTTTGTGCTGAGGACCCGGGTAACGGGAGGACTCAGTTAGTGATGACCTGTAGACTAGGGATGTGACCGAGGCATAAGACTGGGAATGGCAGAGAGGGACAATGAAGAAAACTATACAGCCGGGACACTAGTAAGTTGTCACTCAGACTGCAGTGTTCCCGTTCCCTCCCCGAGACTGACTGAATTTATCGCCGTGCACTCAGTCTGGCTTGTGACTGAGCGCTGTGACTGACGTGTTCCCTCCACAGACTGACGGAGGTGAACACCGAACAATGTAGTCGAGCACACCATGACTGATGTGCTCCCGTTTTTCACAGACTGACAGAGGTGAACACGGAACACTCGGACCCCAACTCGTATAGCTGGAAACTGATGCGGTTCGCCTGTATGAAACTCTGCAAACAGAAGATCACACAGATCCTCTCCGTGGCAGGCATCGAGCAGCAGGGTGAGTCGAGTGCGGAATCCGGGAAACGCATTAAACAACACGGAACTGCAGGGTAGCTCTAGCTTGGTTTTTTTAAACGAAGGCAACTTCAGGAAGTCGCCAGACATCGCTTATTAATTGGACTTGCGTGTGTTAATCTATAATTTTCTTCGTGAAATTCATACCAAACGACTCTCAAATTTTCGGAAAAATTCAACACGTTGTTTCCCTGTTTGCATTAAGTGGTGGACAATTCTGACGTATCGCAGAACTGGCTCTTCTGTTATGTTCACCAATAACCATCGAAAGAGCTCCCGGCTTCCTCACATCTGGTGCACACCATTTGACTCGTCCCTCACGCCGCATGTTAGAGCTGCCGGTTGCCTCGCCTCTGGTGCACACCATCCTGCGCCTGATGGACCGCTGGTCTGACGAACTGGAGGCCGAGGTCAACTCGAGTCGCCAGCCGGCCGAGTACATCCCCAACCTGAACGTGGACGAGTCGGCGCGCGGCCCGCCCATCGTCAAATACCGGGCCATGCTGCAGCCGTTCAACACGCCGTTCGAGTGAGTTGGTGGTGTCTGTTGGAGAGATTCATAACGAGGTTAATAGGGGTATTTGGGCGATGTCATTAGGATGACTTTGTATGGTGCACTTGGCTTACGAACCAATGCATTATCGATTGTCATGTGGTTGTGTCACGACCCGGGAAGCCGCTTACTTTGCAGTGCAGTGTATTCTGTGCAACGTGTTTTAACGTGCCACTGCTTTCCCTGTTGCCCGTCTACCGTGTCCTGTGATCACTACCCCCCCCCCCCCCATTCCGTGATCTGCCGCAGTCAAGACGCTCCCGGTGTCGGTGCCGTGAAGCGACTCTGGCTGGTACTGGCCCGCCACGAAGCCGTTCAGGACACCTTCATCCGAGTTCTGTTCTCGCGGCGTGCTGCGCTAGGACCCAGCATCGGCTCGGGAGCTGACAGCGACCATGAGGTCACCACCGACCCCATCAAGATCATACACAAGGAGCAGGATGCCATCACGGCGTTCTGCATCAACCAGGTAAGGGTTAAAGAAGAGTGGGAAAGTGCTTGGTAGGCGACAGCTCATGTTGTGTGTGCAGTTTGTGAAGGGATTGTAGCTGGTTGTAAACACCATTACAAGCTACTGGTCTTCAAGGCCTTGTGTATCAGCGCGTTGACTCACCTGGTTGACTCACCTGGTTGGGTTCCCAGTGCCAAGAGATGTAGATGGAAGGAAGGAGTAGGACAGACAGGAACCCTTAATCCTAGACTCGCCAGCCGAGGGAGATCTTCACTTGTGGTTGGCGAGCGCAGAAAGCTGGAATTTAGCGTCTTCCGTTGAGTCCGGCGTGTATGCATGTACAAACACACTGTAGTTTTTCACAAAGAAAAAAAAGAAGTGAATGCAGTGCAGCTGAAAGGCCGGCAGAATATGCAGCGTGCTAAAGTTTTGTACAGTCGTTCAAGTAGCGTTAGACATAGGCGAACAAACTCCCATGCAGAGTGTCATGCAGGACCTCCTTGAACCTAGATAGGTTTGGGGAACATACCGCCTCCGCAGGTAGGGCATTCCAAATATGCATACACCTCACAGCGTTGGCCGGTGAGTGCGGGCTTCTGAAGGATTCTGCCCCCATCGTGTCCAACAGGCCAACCCGAACATGATGGTGATGGCGACGCAGAAGGAGCTGCAGGAGCTGGACGTGGCACTGCTGGTCAGCGGCCCCACCTGGCTCGAGTCGGAGACCGACTACGACTCGCTAAACCCCAACAGGTGCGACTAGCGGCGGGAGGATGTGCTCGGCTGATTGTCTCAAGGCAAAGGCAATGGTCGTGGATCCGTGGCGTTAGCTGTATGATATTTTTCGGAGTGAAAAATGTTTTTAATATTGTGAGGTTGTTGGTCTCCATGACTCGCTTCTCCATGCTCAATTTGTTTCTGATTAGCGTTGCATCTTGTACCGTGTGTACCTGTTCTCCACGCGACTGTCCAATGTTGACGTGTCTGTTGCGCCTCTGTCTGACTGTCTGTCGCTCTGCCGCTTCCAGGGACCCGGACAGTATGCCTTCCTCCAACTACCTGGTGGTGCAGCTGCCGAGCGAGGCAGGCTCGGCTGGCCTGCCCGGCCCGGGTCCGGGCGGCTCCGGCTACTCCGGGCCCGGATCGGCGGCCAGCAGTCTCGTACCCAGTCCGACCTACTCGCAGACTGGTCGCGCGCCGGCAATGGTGAGTGAGGGGCATAGGTAGCGCGGCAGGGTCAGCAGAGTAGGTTAGCTAATTCGTCGGTGAGTTGCGACAGTTGGTGTGGGGGCTAACCGGTCGGTCAAGTCGGACTGATGGTGTTAATGGCGGCAACAAGTCATGCTGCCGCTAGCCTGCACTCTCGGTGTCACGTTAAATGTCACCGTCACTTGGCTGTGTTGACCAGAGAAACGGCGTGATTTAAATGGCACAACACGCTCAAAAGTGCAGGACGTGTAGATAGGTCACACATGTTTTGTGTTTCGTGGATTGATTGTGAGTTTGTTAGTGATTAGAATATGCTGTTCTCGTCACGTGCACTGAATGCGTAGTGTTTCTTTCCACATTACTGTATATTTAGATGATTGGTCTATCTTCACTTGATGTCATAAAGTATGTGTAGAACGTCAGCCTGTTATACCGGTCTTTCACTCATCCAAGCACGTGTCCTTTTCACTCCTCGGCTAGGTTTCTGTGAGTGACTACTGCATCGGTGTGTCATATCGATGTTATCTTTTACCTTATCTTTAGCAATAGGAATTTCCTGTAAGCACCATCCTTTTGAACTATAGTATGTACGCTTTATCTTATCTTATTTTATTTCTATTGGATGTCTGGGTGGTGTCCTCTCGTTATTCCTTTCTTCTTTTTTTCTTTTTTGTTGCATTCTTAGTGTCTGTCCTTGTCGCCTCTGGTTTCACTGTTTTACTGGTCTCTCTTAGTTCACTGTTCTCTCGACCTGTCTTATTCCTTTTCCTTATCGTCGGCCGGCGCCTGCCCTTTGCCCCTCTCTCGCTGTCACCGCCCCCTCAGCCGATATATGTGTCTGTTTCAGGGAGGTCGAGTCGGCCGGACACAGGCAGGTGGACGTTTATATGTGTCGTGTGTTTCCCCACCCACCCAGCCCCGCTTCATAGATGCACGCTGTAATGATGCAAAGCTGCTCTACGGCAGCCATCCACTCCCACGTCGTGTTTTGTATTTTTTGAACGGGTTTGTGTTTTGTAGTTGGGTTTTGTGGTGGTTGCTTTTCGTTAGTATTACTGGGATTTATTCTTCACTGGGTTTTGCGTTGAGCGTATCTTTTCTTTGATTTCTAAGTGATTTACAGGCCTTCGATGGATGGTAAGTCAGTGGATATCGCCAGACTTCTTCACTCTTAACCCTATTCCTGGCGGGCTCCGCCGGGACAAGAAACTGGCGGGGGGGGGGCCGATTCGGCCCCCCCCTGAGATCTCGAGAACGAAGCAAGATAGCGACAAGCGGTAAACGGCATCGGATACGCACGGCCAAGATCTACAATTTTTACTAAGGCCATTTTCAGGTCAGGTCAAAGATGACGTCACAGGGGTCGAAAAAGTCAAAATGGCGGCGCTAGATATGGAGAGAGTTTTTCTCGAATAACTTTCGAATTAGTCAAGATAGGAACAAACTAAGGGCATCATCGTGATCCTCTCGTCAATCCGCATCGAATGATATATATTATGACCTCGAAAGGTCAAGGTCAAAGGTTGACCTCAGGTCACGTGACCTCGAGGTCATCATGTATATCATTCGATGCGTCTTGACGAGCTGAACACAATGAGACCATCCACGCGTCTGTATCTTGTTCCTGTACGGAGTTATTGGCCAAAAACCTTTGGTGACCTTTGATGACGTCACATGACCTCACAGCTGCCCAACAGCAAAACAGACCTCAAGGTAGTGAAGGTTGATCGTATATGAAGTCATGTATGGTATATGGGGCCATTCCGACCCGTTTTAGTGGTAAAAACAGGGAGTTGATTTTTCCCCCATTGACTTATAATGGGGAGGTCGCGAAACTGACCTGACCTTAGGTCACCGATATCAAAATTCCAAGATATACAAATTGCACATACTGGTACCCTAACTAAGGCCTGAAGAGAAGAAATTGATCGGTCAAAAACTCTAGCTCTGGCGTGATTGCAAACTTTTCTGAGGTAGGGTCACCAAACCGCCTCTGGTGACCTGACCTGAGGTCAGATCAACTCAAAATTTTCAGACATGTTGCGTAGAAGCCTTATAGGAAAAGTCAGAAAATTTGAGCTTCCTAGCTCAACGCGTTTGGGAGAAATAACCAAAAAACCTCAGGGGGGGCTCCTGAGGCCCCCCCCCCCCCCCGCCAGGAATAGGGTTAAAGATTGAAGGACGCCTTGATAGAAAGACGGAAATTTTATTTTTGCTCTGTTGATCACGTTTCCAATTCGATATTTACGTCACTTTGAAACTTCTCGATTTAGATTGTGTTAGTGGCAGGACAGTACGCGGCCTGTGAAATTTTTGCATTCAATATGTACCAAGCCGATTGCGATTCCGCTTGGTAAGCTTGCCCAACTAACCGCGCCTGTATCCAGTCGGGCTCACCGAGTTTAGCTCACCATCTCTAACTCATGTTGTCCGTCTCTGTCTCCTAACCACGCTAACCCAGCTGAAAGGATTGCACTTTCCGGGTGCTCAGAACGCCCACTTCTGTCGGGTGGTGCTCAAACGCAGCCGCCACCTGCTGCAGCCGGTGAGAAGCTGTAGTTCCAGATTTAACTCATAGATGGCTGTCGTGATTTCGCCCCGTCTGTGCCGCACATTTTGAGTGATGCACTGCCTAGATACTCACGCATTTTTGTTCCATGCATGATTTCTCCGACCCCCTTTAAGGCACGGCATTTGATGGCGATGTTATTCCTTGCCGTCATTACAAGTTCATCGATTATTTACAATTCAGGGTTTTTTGCGTAACCATCCCTTTTGTTGTCAGTAGGCTGGTCACTGGTCAAACCCGTCCCCACGGCGTGGTCTACTCGTAGACCACAACCTGTACGGGGCTGACTTTTTAACTATGCGGGAGAAGTTCAATGCAGCAACGGCCTAATATGTGCATGGTTGTCGACTTTCGTTGAAGATCGGTCCTGCTTCAATACCAACTTTGTCGGCTTAGTAGTTGTTTCGTATTGACGTTTTCTTTTCTCGTCGCTTTGATGTTTTGAATCAGATTGCTTTCCCCTCTTCAAATGGTTAACGCGTTACTTTATGCAGCTCTTTCGTAGCCATGTGTTCTGTTCCAATTTCAACTGAATAGTGTCACCGAGGCTGCGCTTTGGCTTTGTAGCGTTTTATCACATCTGCTTGTTCGTATCCTGGCAATATTTTAGAAAGGACTGAATGAGTCGTCCATTCCTTTATGTCATGCTGCCTCGAGATATGTGATGTATCGTGCCGTCGTCGTGCTTTTGTCAGTCTGGCGTCGCTTCGCTTCAGTACTGTGTACGGGACGTGTCCTCCAAGCCCCCCTTCACGTGACTCAGTGTCACTCTGCATCTGAACTGCAAGTAATTGTTCAATTATTCTGCTAATACGGCTTAATGACTGGCTTAACATACCCAGAAATGCTAACCACTGGTGTTTTTCGCATCTTGTTCACCTTGAACTCGCCCTGTCCCGGCTAACTCCATGTCTCATCTGTGATCTGACACCGTTGAAGCTGGTCGGTTACTGCCCGTTTCTTTGCTCCTGTAGACGTTCTGACTCCGTTCGGCGTCGTTTCAGATGCTGCGCCACAAAGTGGAGGGCGTGCGCAGGCTGTGCGCCCACCCCACCATGTCTGTCTGTGAGTACCATGGGGTGATGGGGATGTGTTTGTGAGTGCCGGAGACGAGGTGACTCCAGTTACTGCGATAAATGTATCTGCATAGATACACGGTTACTGGTTAAACTATCTGACTAAATAAATCGACTGTCTGAGGCGCCTTGATAATTTGAGGTTGATCATTTAGCTTAAGCTCATAGTGCTGAATAACTTTACATGCACGCCGCCGCCGGTTGCGATCAGTCGTTTGTTGTTACTTTTCTTATTCATCGCTTATATGTTGTGGTTGTATTATCTCTTACCTGCGAATCTGTCTGGAGCTGGATAGCAATCCATGAACGCCAGCGTATAACACATTTGGAGTATCACAAATCATGTGACACGGTGCTACTATTGACTATCACCATTTATAACAGCTCACTGCTCCTCTAACCTTCGATCAGCGTGTATTCGTTCTAAGGCCTTTGTCGTTTCAGATATCACCGGCGCGCACGACGGCTCTGTGACGGTCCGTGAATGGGGAGCCGAGAACCCGGTGGCCGTCCCCCGTCCCAGCGGCACGTACGCCAAGGTGAGACCATGGACGGACTCGTCGTGTCCCGGTGATTGTGTTGAGTGGTGAACTCGGTTCTAAGTCTGAAGTCTGAAGTAGACTCAGTTTTGACTGGCGGTGGATATTTGCCCATCGAGACGTTTGGTGGGACGTTAGCCTGATCGAGACGTTTGATTCTGATTGAGCTGACAATGCTGACAATGAGGTTCTGACTTGGCATACTATATTGTCTTGTCCCAACATAAGTGCATCGGTTTTTGTCCGTTCGCTCAGTGTCTGTTTGGCTATGGGTTTAACAAGTATGCCATTGAACACAGATTATGACCATACTACCTGGATGTATATTGACCTCCTAACCAGCTACCATGACTGGTGCGTCCCAAAGCCACAGATCACCAACCCCGTCTCGTCCCCAGGTGAACCGGGTGAGGTTCAACACACAGGGCAACAAGTTCGGAGTGGCTGACAACGACGGCAATCTCAGCCTGTGGCAGATGACGCCGTCGGCACACAACGGACGACCGTTCTACGTGAGTGTCTAAGGAACACTAACGGGAGTCTGGGGCTACACGGCCTGCACACTGCAGCGCGCCCCAGGGTTAACTGTGTAACGGAGCGGGTCGAGAGATTATCAATAGTTGGACATATGTTGGGACAATGCTGACATGCTGCTTCTATCAGATGGCTAGCTGAGTTTTGAGCATTGTGTAGCGAGATATTGCAATACGCATTCATTGTTCTTTCGGAAGTGTCTCAATGGGTTCCCTGCCGATAGCGCGGCATTAACATAAGTAACTTGTACCAGTATAACGCCTTTTGGGGCGACTAACGGAGCGAGCGAGAGGGTGGGCCTTGCACGTGCGAAATTGCGAGGGGGTACCTCCAACTGACTTGTGCACGGCACCCTACTAACTGGTCTCTAGCGATGTGCCAAATTTGGGCACAATCGGCCCAGCCGTTCTCGAGATCTGGAAGCGGCACCCTGCACGTGCGCACGTGCAAAATGGGTCCCAACTGACTTGTGCACGGCACCCTACTAACCGGTCCCTAACCGTGTACCAAATTTGAGCGCAATCGGTCCAGCCGTTCTCGAGATCTGGAAACGACCCCTGCACGTGCGCACGTGCAGCAGCACCCCAACTCTGGCACATGTATATGCAGTGCCTAGTGGGTGCCTACCTACATGCCAACTTTCAGCGCAATCGGCCAAGTAGTTACCGAGATATTGCAACAATTACAAAAGTGACACCTCTTCGTTTTGCACGTGGCACGTGCATAAGGGGTCACCCACATGCATCGGGAATAGTCCAATACTTGGTACTTGGTAGAAGGAATGAAGCTACCCTACAAAAATTACCGCGTGTAAATCGGTCAAGTGGTTGCTGAGATATAAGCCTCGCAAAAGCGTGACCACGGCCGGCCGGCCGGCCGCTCATACTCAGAAATTTCCGTTAATCTAAGGAAAGACTACGCTCGCTTCGCTCGCTCCGTAATAAGTCGTGTACTCTGGAGTTCTATCAGCCTTAGAGCACCGTTTCACCCGCCACGTATGTAATCTGTTTCCTGACCCACCCTCCTTCACTGCACAGGCGATGGAGTGCCACAGCAAGGTGTGCAGCGACTTTGTGTTCGTTGGCTCGTCCTCTCTGCTGGCCACGGCCGGTCTCAGCGCTGACAACAAGAATGTCTGCTTGTGGGACACGCTGCTGCCAAAGCGGAAGGCGCAGGTGGCCGGCTTCTGCTGTCATGAGTCTGGAGCGTCGGCGCTGCTGTACTCCTCACAGCACCAGGTGGGTGAGAGGGGAGAGGAGGGAGAGATGGTACTCTCATCTGACCTCGCACCACCGTGCTATATTTTTCAAATGCTGGCCCTGTCCTACCTTGCATTGCTGTCGATCGAAGTTGTAATATGTGTTGTGTTGTATAATGCCTGAATATCCCTGATAGTAGCGTGTGTGCTGCTTACGGTCACTGATTGCCTTTATGTTTTGTTTCAGTTGCTGATATCGGGCGGTAAGCGCGGCAATGTGTGCATCTTCGACGTGCGCCGTCGCCAGGTGCGCCACCGTTTCTCTGCGCACGAGGCGGCCATCAAGTGTATGGCTCTGGACCCGGCCGAGGAATACTTTGTCACCGGCAGCGACGAGGGAGACATCAAGGTCGGTTGCAAAGGGTGGTGCGGGGCAGGGACGGGAGGGCGTACTTATGTTGTGCGATCATGAATTCTGCCACCAGTCTCATGCTTTCCTATATCGGCATTCCACTTATGGTTTTTGGTGTACGTGCAGGTCTAAGGTATGAAACGTTGTCATCTGATTGCAGGTACATACCTGGATGTTGACTGTCCAATGTGGCGTAATGTATGACTTAGTTTCGTTATGGGAATGGAATTTTCCTATGTCTGAAAGGGTCTTTGATGTGCAGTTAACAGACATATTGTTATACATTTTTCATCATTTAGGTAAAATGCGTGGTTCAGCTCGATAATCGAACTGAATGTATAATCGAATGAGTCCCTAAATCATTTATCGAGCAAGGTAAGTAACTTCAGAATATTATCCCCACGCCCAGACTCGTTCGCCCCTCTGCAACTTCTTTTCCTGTTCCAGGTGTGGGGTCTGACGGTACGGGACGCGTTCTTCTCGTTCCCTGCCGAGCACGCGCGCGGCGGCTTCTTCAAGAACGCCGGCCACGGCGTGACTCAGCTTCATATTGACGACGAGCACCGCCTGTATTCATGCGGCGCTGACGGCTCTATGAAGCTGCGCGCCGTGCCCCACCACCGGGATACAGTGGTGCAGTCCGTCTACTGAGACAGGTAGAGTCCTGCGGGAGGAGAGTAGAGGGCGTCTACTGAGCTGGGTAGAATCCTACGGAGGAGAGTAGAGGGCGTCTACTGAGCGAGGTAGAATCCTGAGAAGGAGGGGACAGTGTACTGAGATTAGTCTGTCTACCGATCAGGCATCTGAGGAGGTGGAGGGAACGGTCTGTCTACTGAGAACGGTAGAGTCCTGAGGAGGAGACTATGGGGTGTCTACTGAGGAGAGTCGTCTCATAAAGAGACTACAGTCTTCTTAGGAGAGTAACAACCTGCTGAGGAGACTGCAGTCTATTGGGAAGACTGGAGTTTGCTGAGGAAGCCACAGTTCGTCAACTCATGAGGCTGCTGTTCTTCTGAGCAGACTATTGTCCCTTCGCTGCGGAGACTACAATCTGTCTACTGAGCTAGGAAATGGCATTCCCTCTACTGAAGTGGTTGAGAGACGGTCAGGATGAAATCAGGTGTTGCAATGGATAAACAGGTTGAAGAAAATAGTGGCAAGTGAAAAGAAGTGATCATTGTAGGCATGCTTGTGATGGACCGAAAATTAGAGACTTTTTGATAGCTTGTAATTTGTATTGACTTCTGGCAGTGGAAGAAGTAGTGTAATTACACCACCCAAATAGCGAGCTACCTGCTTCAGCAAATTCAATTTTCTGGCTGACTGGAGACAATTTTTATTGGCACTCGCTGTGCAATCATGCATGAGGCCGCTCCGCCTTTCGAAACCTCTCACCAGTCCCTGTTCGACCGCGAGCCATAAGCCACAGACAAGGCCAGTTCCGCCCGCCGGCTGCACCACCAGTAACGCTACATTCCAGACAGGGTTGAGACTGTCGCACTGCGTACTGTGCGTACGTGTGCGTATGTGTTTGTGTGTGTGCGTGCTGAGGTTGTGTGCGTGAGTGCTCGTGAGGTGAATTGATCCTGTATTTGCTTAGATTGGAGCCAGGGCCATAGTAAAGACGGAGTTCGTCGTGTCATGTGCAATTTTTAGCAAAGCGGGAGATATATTGTCACACTAGGCTGTTTATTGTGTAGCGAAAAAGCGCAGCTGTATTGCCAAGGGTATATCCTTACAAGTAGGTATGTCGAAAAGCTCCAGGACTGGAAGTGGCATTATTTACCGCTGATCATTCAATTTACCCATTAATTTTCCCAATGCCATATGTATCTCGGTATTGTCCCGTCTTAACTTGAAAATATTGTCTCGTATAAGTTCGTTTCGCGGTAACTGCGACAGAATGTCCCCGCGTGTCGCGGTTACTGTCGCGGCGACACAGCGACAGGCCTCGCGTGTCGCCACAACCACAGCTGAGCTATTATTCACGAGCTATCGGGATCGGGCCCGCCCGGCTGAACAGCGTGATTGCGTTGACCGTACTGTTTTCCTAAGGGCTAGGTCAGCCGCTCGATACCAGCCGCGTGTTTCCCCACACGAATCAGAGGGATACAGGGCACCTCGCGTGCCGTCTGAGTTTTAGAGTCGACGGTTTTCGGCCACGTCGCTACCGGTCCCGTCTGCCGTTCGATTCGGATGAAGCTGCGAAGATATTGTCGATGTTTATATATTCCTACGCCATTGTTTATTCCTATGTTATTATATCGCGCAATGTGAATGATTTTGTACAGGAAGGTAGGAAGAATTCACGATTTTATGGTTGTGTTCCGTAACCAGCGATGGTACTGCACTGAACGGCTCCCAATATGTATACTAGCTGGATGTTCAGTGTTATTCGTACCACCGTCATTGTATCTCGTATATCTACCCTCTAGACTTGATAGCTGTGTGAACTGAGCGATAACACTGGCTGTAGTGATGAAATGTGTGCATGTAAGTAGTGTGTTGTGTGATCTATTATTCCCCAATAAACGTCTGTCGATTCGCTGGGTGTTAGCTTTATGGCCAGCGTTGCAGTCACCCGATGCGAAAACGCGCTACTGGAACACCGGTGTAGTTACTGTTTTGCTTCTAACTTTGATGACGATTCGAAATGGTGGGTATGATTACATTAATGATTTGAGATGCTCTCATCTCATTTGGCGATTTTTGCGGCTATGTGAAGCGTGCATTTCTTCAAAGACTACCAAAAATATGGCGTGGTTTGGGTTTGTTGTTGAGATAGTCCTAAAGCGGATTGGGCCTAGTGCCCAATATCGTTTTTAGTTCCATCATTGTTTGGTTCATTGGTTAGTCTCCTTGCACTCCACAGCGCTGAAGTCACAGGTGTTAGACATGTTGCGTCCTTCGTTACATTTTCACCCGTCCTGCGCTGTGCGAAAACCGTGCATCGTGAGACAGTTCCGACCAAAAGTCGCAGCTCACCAGCCAATATGTATTCACATCGACGACAGAAGTACTTGGCGGTTCACACCAAACGGTCCCTAGTGAGAAATCCTGGACGTGGGGTAGTGGCTAGGCTAGGGACGCTTCTCATACTTCACGGCAGGAGTGTGACCTGACGAAGGCGCGGCACACGGCATTGATACAGTGGCGTGCGAACTGCGAGAAGACGGGCGGGTTGAGGATTTGCATGGAGCTGCCACCGTTGGATATGACTGTAGGCACGGGTTAAAAGATGAATAGGTGAACCAGAATGGCATCGCACCTCACATTGCGGCGCGAGCTCGGAATAAAATGTGTTCTTGTTCTCGTGCAACGCACTCTGCTGTGGGAAGGTGATGGACGGTTTTTTATCACAGGTTGAGACAAGGCGCAGATGAATTGGAATATTGGCACTAAAAACAGCGCAATTATTACCGAGCTATATCATAATCTAGCCCTCGCTCCCACGCCGTGCACCCGAGCAAACAATATCAAATGAACAATCGTGATTTGACATTTCCTCTCTCCTGCACATTCCTCGCTGGTTGCTGCCGTATTAATCCAATAACAAAGACCCCGCGTGCGCCCTTGTTACCGCAACACTTTTGCCGCTTTGCTTGTTCTGCGGGCTTGACCTTTTCGCTCTGCTCCCTGTCGGGGCGTGGCACTGCTCTGTGAGCCGTTTCAGCCGCAAACGAAGGACATGCAGTTCGCGCGTTGTGGTTAGCGGAGGAAAGAGAAGGCTGGGGCGTGGTTGAACGACCAAGGTTGGGATATTCAGCCACGCCCCGGGTATCTGCTGTGACCATGACCGTAACGCGACACTTTGAAGCAGCATGTCTGACACAGACACAACACGCGTGTCTGTCCTAGTCAGTCGCAAGTCACAGCTGGGACTGAAGGTCGTCGGGGAAGATAAGAACGGGAACGGTGAACACTGGGGTACATACCGAAACGACATCAACATATCTCACTCACGCTCACTTTCCGTACAAACAGCTCTATCGCACTCCGTCACACCCCGTCACATCGTCACACGCCGTCACGGTGGGAGTCACAGTCAGACCTGGTGACGGCTGCCGTCACGGCAGTGGTCGCTTTACGATCGTCTCGCCGGCGTTACATCAGCCAGGTGTCGTTCCGTCACTATCTCCGGTTCGTCTCACTCCTATACGGCCCGGGAAGGCTGACAAACATCGAGAACTGCTGTGTTTACGGCTTACCGGCAGTCCCGGCGACCCTGGCAGCCCACAATCCTTCAGAGACGGCACGGAACCCGTCACAGTCTGCCGCCCCCGCCCCGCCCCCGCCCCCGCCCCCGCCCCGCCCCCGTCCCGCTGAGCCGCTGGAATGTCCTGGCACGTGGCCTAGCGGCCGGCGGCGGGCGTGGCCGCTCCAATTACAGTCCAGTTTGGTCACACAGAGCGCTCGTAACGGAGCCTCTCGGTTGGCCGCTCCTCCTCCGTTCACTCTCACTTTCGGAGGTATTTCAGTCCTCTCTCCCTCCCGCGCAATCCGTTCAAGGAGAACTCACTCTCACTCTCACTCCGAGGAGTGCCGGAACTTTGTGAGTGGCGCTCTGCGTCCTGTATGACGAGTTTTATTCCATTCTTTTATACGTGCCGGTGACAATGGGTTGATGAAACGAGGCCGGGTGTTGCTAATTCCGGCAGTGGGACAGTCTGCTGTCGGACTGGATCAATCGGCTGAAGACCATCAGACAGCTGTCGAACAGCGGACATTGGCGCGTCGTGTCGCCAGGTTTGCAGACAGTCTGGTGCTTTTGACGCACTAGCTGGTCAGGTGGGGCGTTTATGACGCTGATAACGCTCCCACAGTATCATTGTTGTCACAAGACTCAGTGAGATGTGTTGACTCGCAAGCGAGCTGCTCTCCAATCTCCTCAGATCCGTTCGCCGCATTTAACTCCTCATTAATCACATTTGTAACGGTGCATGCCTGGGCGAGCCGACCGCTGTTTTCTATCGGCGCTCTGTGCACGGTGCAGTGCACAGGTCTGATCGTGCACACGGCTTGCATTGCGAGCTGTGCGTGAGACGATGCCAGCTGGCGATCCGGCGTTCCAACTTGCGGTTCGGGCTCACGATGTCCGCATTCCAGTATGCCGTTTTGGCCTGCGCACCATGGCATAGTTCATTGCAGAGACGTGACTCAAACACACTGGGAAAACAAGACAACTCAGGAAGACAAACTTCCTCTCATTGTGGCCAAACGAGCGAGTGGGCTTTTTCTGTCGTTTATCGTCCAGCTCACACCTGCCACCATTCCTACAGAAGGTTCACCACCTTCTTCCCCTACGTCTACCACTATCTCACAACTGCGCCAGAGACGGTGCCGGCAGGAGCGGCGTTCTGTAGTCACTGTGATCAGCATGGTTCGCCCTCCCATCTACCAGGGCGCTGGGCTGGAGCGGTGACGCAGAACCAGCCCGTCGCCGCCTTCGCCGTCCGGTACCGGCGCCCGGCGTGGGTCCTCCTCCATACACAGTACGAGTCGTGCCGGCGGAGATAACCAACGTCGGCGTGATCACGATCGTGTCCGTCTGCAGACCCGTGGCGGTCAGCACGTGTGTCACCGTGTGCACGTGCTTGACAGTGGTGGGCGTGTCGCCGCGCACGGCCGGCACCGTCTTGGTCTTCTTGAGGAGGATGGTGGTGACGAGGGTAGATGTGGTGACGTGTAGACTGGTGCTCGGAGCCAGTACACTGCTCCGAACGGCCGCAGGTCGGGGTTGAGGCGCGCGGGGTGGCGGAGGGGGTCGAGGTCTTGGGGTGGTGGTCGGTTTGCGGGTGGGAGGTGGCGGCGGAGGCGGTGGTGTTGGTGTGGAAGATGGAGGCGGTTTGGTGACGGGCACCGTCGCTTGAGCTTTGCTTTCAGCCTGTGAAATCTGTGCCTGAGCCTTAGGTCCCGACGCTTCCGCTCCCACGCCGTTCAGGCCGAAGATTCCCTGCAGATCGCCGGCCTTCCGTCCAGTCAGACCGGGCTGACCTGCCCCAGCCAGTGGATCCAGCTGCGCTCCTAGCTGCTGCGCTGTCGGGAACTGACCTGGCACCGGCTGCTGGGGACCAGAACCGAACACCGGTCTCTGCTGTCCCAGTGAGCCGGGAGCCAGTCCCAGACCCGGCCCGACACCTCCCTGCCCCTGCCGCAGTCCCTGCGCTGCGCCGAGCGCGGCGGCTCGCCCCTGGTCTCTGATGTCGGCCAGCAGCAGCAGCAGCTGTCCGGTGTCGCCCTGGGTGACCTTCTGCAGCAGGGTGATGATGGCCGCCTGGCCGGCCGGCTGGCTGAGCAGGGTCGGCAGGGGGTCGGTGCCGCGCGCCCGGCGTAGCTTCAGCAGAGCTGCGGCCATCTGGTCGGTCTGCTGGTGCTGAATCTGGGCGGCGTCCGTCGTCTGGGCCTGGATCAGGTAGTAGTAGAGCAGGTAGTTGAGAAGCGACCAGTCGGCACAGCCGGACCCTGCCGGGGAAAGAAAGGGAGAGTTAGAACGATCCGACTGGAAACCGGGGATGCACGGGATTTGGAAGGGGTTTGTTCGACCCTTCCGGGACATGCCCGAAGACCAGCGGGTTCGGGAAAGACTGCGGAGATTCTGCAAACAATTAATCATGATATATAGAAAGGTCTTTATTTGGCTCAATTCATTGCTGAACGGACCGTGTATACTGTATATGTTGATCATCACGAAAGACTTTAACCCGCGCCCCGTTGGGCTCTGCCGAGCAGCGCGCCCCGTTGGGGGGGGGGCAATTTGCCCCCCCCCCCCAGATCTCGAGAACCACGCAACCTAGCGACAAGCGGCAAACGGTGTTGGATAGCCCTATCAGGGAACTACCTTGTGACTCAATTTTATTGACCTAGGTCAAACCGATGACGTCACAGGTCAGATCAAAGGTCGAATTTTCACCGTTTACAGGCATTTCAAGAAATGTGTTGTAAAATCGAGTAAAATGCATTTCATTGAAAATCATCGATGGGGAAATGTTCTTCAAACACACATTTTGCTATTTGAGGTCACTGATACCAGGTCAGGTCACAGAGGCCAGGTCACTGGGGGGTCACAATATGAAAATGTCGTGTGATACATGTTTTATACATTTTACATGACAAATGCGATTATGTGGGTCAGGCAGCCTTTGGGGCCAGCTTAGGTCACGTTTTGGTCAAGGTCAGGTCAAATTAGGTCAAATTTCAAAGTTGATATTTTTGCATAAAATGGGTATCGATTCGATGCAGCTCGTCACGGGGAGTTCAATGGTGTCTTTGTTTTGCCCTACGTGGTCTAAAGAATCGCTAAAAATTGAGTTCAAAAATTTGACGTCATTATTTTTGAACAGTTTTTCGCTATAACTTGGCCAAAAAACGAAATATCGATCTGAAATTTGGTATGTATATAGAAGAGCGCAGGGACTATCACATTTATTCCGGTTTTTTCGAAATTCGGATTTTTTTTTAGTTTTTGTAAGAAATCAATTTTTTGAATTCTTGGGGTCAAAAACCCATAATTTTGAAAATCCGAGATAGCAGTTTTGTAGCGCCGCTTTTATATACCATATAAAGAACTTTGAAATTGCTTGGTAATTGTAGATTTGGTGAGCGTTTCAAGATTGCATGTTTTTGCTCATTTTTGCTCGAACATGACCTCAGTTTGACCTCAATAACTCCTGACCTAAGGTGACCTGTGACTTGAAAGTTGGTGTGAAGGTGTCAAATTGATGCCCGGGAAGGTACTGCAAATTTGGCGGCGCTGCGCGCCGCCGTTTTCTTGCTATTCAGGAAAAACCACAGGGGGGGCCAAATTGCCCCCCCCCCCAACGGGGCGAGGGTTAAAGCGTTACCCAACAGAATGCCTAAAGGTTGACCTAATCTGGTCGGGAGATACATGCGGCATCGTGTTTATTCATCGTTTGTACCATATGCATCTGGGGATCTCGCTGCTCTGTGGCAATGGTCTGCATACCCTTGTCACCGTGTACCGGTTCTGGGTGTGATTCAAGGCCGGACTTTGTCTGGCGTTTCCAGTCACATATCGGACCAACCAGTGAGACTCACAACTAATCAGTGTCGGCACATTCACTGGACAGCACGAAAATCTCGCCAAGCCACTATGTAATGTGGCTATCAACAACTAGTTTACCTAAGTGGGCTTTGCTGGTCAAAATTGGCCAAGTTTTACACGATGTGATCCGTCATCACGGATATAACTAATGGCATGATCATGGGCGGCGCCACCGGGGGGGACGGGGGGGACAGGTCCCCCGCTATCGAAAGTTAGGGGGGTACAGTACCCCCTATCGGCGAGGTCCGTTCAATAGTTGATAAGTGCATTGCAGAGTTATCCGTCTCATTTAATGCACCGTTGGTTAATCAAGCCAGGTTCTGAATAAAGATTGCTGTTGGGATGTATCGCAGGGGGTCCTGGCCATTTGCCCAAGGTGTGGAGCTGTGATGCCTGTAGTTATAAGGTGATCGGCAGGCTCTCGGGGATCGTGCCCCCTCCTTTTGGGGCGCCAGGCAGGGTTATTACCTTTTCCACCCCACTACCAGACCCCATTGCCGACACAACAAAGTTTACTGAAATTCCATAGATTTCCGTTACTATATGGATATTTTCCATTCCTAATTAATCAACTTCAAGCATGGCAGTTCTACCACAGAAACAATTTCAAATCTATGACATTTAACCCTCGCCGGACCTATTGGTTTTCTACATACGCGCCGGCCGAGGGGGGGGGGGGGCGGGTACGACCCCCCCCTCGCCGTTTCGCCCCTGGTGGAGCTAGCGCGTCGCGGAAAAAACGAGCGTGTGCGCCGTTACGAGACGCAGAGATTGGTACCCGATTTTAAGGTCCTAGGTCAACCGGTGACCTCTGAGGTCAGGTCAAGTGCCCCAAGGTACGGTTCAGTTTTTGGTGAATAACTTCGCAAAAAACGGCCGCAGAGCGCCGATTTTGGCAGCATCGTGTTCGTCTCGCTCAGGCGCGTCGAATGATATACTTTTTGTCCGGGTCAGGTCAACTTGGGGTGTTGACCTCAGGTCAAGGTCAGGTCAGCACCCCCAGGTCACGAAGTTGGTCGAAAGGGGTCATGTCGCATATCATTCGATTCGGCAGGTCTTCCTGAGTCCATTGGTGGCTTTCCCGACTCGCTAGCTCAATTTGATCAAGAGTTATTGACGAAAAACTAATATGACCTTGATGACGTCATAAATGACGTCACGCAAGGTCAACATTGCAAAAGTGACGCATCTAACCTTGCAAGGAGTGCATAAAATCACGATTCTGTGTGCTTGAGATAGTTGGAGATCGTTCCCGGCGCCAGAATAGCAGTTTTCATTTTTCCCCATTGACTTATAATGGTGAGGTCACGAAAATGACCTGACCTCATATGACCTTTAGGAAAAATCCGAGATATACAAGTTGTGGGACTCATAATGGATACTAGATCCTGCAAGTTTCATTTCCCTGTGACATCTCCTCTGGCAGTGAGGGCGTTGCTAAGTTGCGACATCTGAAGACCGTGCAGAGGTTCACTTATGACGTCATAGGTCAGTGACCTGACCTGACCCAAAAATGCGGTTGGTGTCAAAAGATGCGGCTTGGATCAAAGGTCAGGTATGCCAAGTTTCAGCTCTCTATCGCCAGTGTGTTCGGAGCTATCGCGAAAAAAACCCTATGGGGGGGGCGGCACCCGCCCCCCCCCCCTCGGCCGGCGAGGGTTAACCCCAGCACTTGTGGGGAGAAATGTTCAGATAGATCACAGGCAGGACCAAAAAAATCACGCAGTAGCCCAAGACCTTATAATTGGGTAGCATCGGTTCCCTCTCGTCAAGGGGATAGCACTCGTTTTTCTACAAAACTAAGTTCGGTCGGCGGCCGAACGGCTGAGGGTCTAATCGAGCCCCCTCCCCTTCTTACTTCAGCGGCTGTGAAAATGTCATTACAAGCTGTTGAAACATGGCAGTTGCTTTTGCATGAGTGCACGAAAGGGTTTTAGGTACGTGATACATGAAAGGTTCTACATGAAAATTGAGATACACCAGTTTATCAATTTGTGCTCACTGTGGTCTGTGGTGTGTTCACCTTGACTAGTCTTTGAATTCTGGGGTGAAACAGTCAAGAAACCTGTTCCAAAAGGAGAGCCACTAATGCTAAAGAGATGAGGGATGAGGTTTACAGAGACCTTCATTATCTCCCAAAGGGGGTGCCCCGCGGCCGCCATTTGCCAATCCCTGCTGCAGTTGTTACGATTGGAGGGTGAATATGAGGACGATGCAGGTCGTGCCAGCTCGATCATGACGAACACAATGGTGCCCTCATCACAGCTCTACTGCCATTTTTGACGAAGTTAATCAACAAGGACCGGAATTCTACCCTGGGGCATTTCATCTGACATCAGAGGGCGCCGGACCTGAGACCCTTTCACTCAAATTTTTAACGGTGCATACGCTCTTTGCTCCCGCGAAGCTCTAAGTCAATAAAATCCATCAAAAAGTGTGATCAAATAACGGCTGGTGACCTTCCATGACCTAGCATGACCTTTTGAGTGACCACCGATAACCACTGACGGCTAGCCATTAGCTGCACCCTGCCCGTTGCATATGGATCAGGTGGTGATGTCATGCTTCTGAAATTATTACTGCAGCTTTGGCGCGCTTGTCAGAGCAGAAGACATTCCCACTTTTCCTCCATGGCTATTTGATGGTGAAGCCATCAATCTGACCAGACATAAGATCGCAAATTTGATTTTGAAAGTACGAACATAAGAAAAGTTGGCACTGCTACTCATACATAAGCAATTCGCAGCTTGTAGGAAACCAGCTTTGAGTTGACAAGACTGCAAATTTTGATTTAGAGGCAAGGATGCTTGAAAAGGTGATCGATCTTAGGTGTCCTAGGATAAGTTTGGAAACAGGATGCACCGTTCGATGTGTTTTGGGCTTTGCCAAGTTTCGCGGCGTTACGTGCCTCGTTTTTTTTTGCATACACGATCAGTATCTACTTTTGGGGTTATCGGTCAGTCAAGCCCCCGTCCCCCCCTATCGAAAATCCGTGGCGCCGCCCCTGGGCATGATGCTAAGCCGTTGAGCTTCATCCTTCTTTCCAGACGCATGCTCACATGTGTTGGAAATCCCAAAAAGATAGCTCAAATGTGCAGCAGCTTGCGAAATAAGGATGTTGGTAACGTACACCTCTTACGATATCGTAACAAGCTGAAATCGTACTGTGCGTTGCCAACTCATTTCTTCCACCATAACCTTGTCACTACATAGCGGTATTTAGCCGAGTAACGAGCCATTTATGTCTGCGAAGCTGTACCATGTCCTTTCAGCCGAGCTAAAATGGTGGTCCGGTCGGCATGTTGCGGTCCCGGCGCGCAGCGGCACGTGGGGTCGGGTGACACCACAGCCAGACTGTGTCGTGTAATGTGTTTGTTGCAGCCCTGCTAGATGCAGGTTG